TTTTTTGCATTTTGACAATATGTTCCTGAAAATTAAATGTACTTGAAAAAACTGTATGTGTACCTGATAAAAACTGTACGTGATGGAAGTTTTTATTGATTTTTTTAACTTGGCATCATCAAATTAGGTAATAATAGGCCTGTTTTTTTTTTTGCAAATCAACATTTTGGTTTAATGAGCAGTAGGGCTGTCAAAATGGCTGAAAAACTAAATTCACATTTTTTACTTAAATATTATCAATATTCGAATTATATTCGAATTTAAAATGCATAATTTCAGTTAGGGTGAAAAAAAGCTTTTGGCTTCTCTCCTGAGGCCACAAGAGGGCGCATCGAGCAAAATATTACTAATGCACGTTTATTCAAAGCATAAGATAACATGACTATCTGTGAAAAAAGTGCATAATGTTTAAAATAACGTTTATAAACCAATTATAATTAAGTTGCTTAAACAACTATAAACAAAACAGCATCATGTATGTATGCATAGTTTAATACAAATGGCTGAAGAGTACATTTTTCATCTAAAAACATGAGATGCAGTGGGATGGGAAAAAAACAAAGTCTCGATATATGTTTTTTCAAAGTTGAACTTGCATTAATTTTACATGGTTTTCTAAACATGCGGCTCTTTTGTGCGAGATGCGAGTGCAACACTGATAGATGTCCCTCTAGAAAATGTGATAAATATGTGTTCCGTGTGAACGGCTTGGTTTGAGTTTTGATGTAAACAAGATCTTCTCCGCATTGATGTTCACTTTTTCCGCTATATTTGTGATGAACAACGCAGCAGCGCCGCATCTAGTGGCTTCAACTGGATATCCTAACAAAAACATTATAATGCAACGACACTTACATCGTCATCGCATCTCGTGCACCGCTGATAAGGCTGCCTCCTTAACGCACACCTAAAATTCGAATGCAGCGTTTTTGCATTTTAAATTCGACGAATATTCGAAATTCGATTTTTTTTTGACAGCCCTAATGTGCAGCGCGGTGTAACATGTTTTCACCTCCCAGTGTGCCGCTCCTGTGGCCACAGTGAAGGCTGATGGGTAAGTCAGGATCTCTGCTCCGTGTCGCCGCAGCGCTGATGACAGCTCAGGAAAACGCAGATCATAGCAGACGCCAAGACCAACCTACAGTGAACACAACACCATGACAGTATTACAGTGCACCTTAATATCAAGCCTGTGAGTCATATGGCTGCTTGTGTTGTTGTTTTGGGCTGAAGCACCTTTCCGATGGGCGTCTGGATGGGAGGCACCAGTCGAGGTCCGGGGACGGTGAAAGCACTTTCTTTCAGAGACACTGCTTTACTCGTCAGCTCCACATCAAACAAATGAGCCTTCCTGTACACAGACACCAGCTCGCCTGAACACACACACACACAACACACTACAACACATGCTTCTGCTGACTGTGGCAGACAACCATCTCATGCAAAACTCTATTTAACAAAGAAAACAGCCTATATTAGGATCATTCTTTTTTTTGCACTAGGACAATATTGTCATGACAATTAAACATAAACACCTAAATTCTAATGACTATTTTCTTATATAAAATAATTGGATCTTGCAATGAAAACAGCTATTGATGCTGATAAAAAATAAATAAATAAATAAGTAAATAAATAATAAATAACTTTTTGAAATATCATATATATCGAAATTAAATGCCATAAATATCAAATATGAGTATTTTCTATATTTGAACATGACAGTATGTTCAGCCTTTAATTCACGCTGGTTTTATTTATTTTTTAAAAATCAATGTATTACAGTATTTTTTAATATTTATAAAACATATGTATCATATTAATTAATCTCCTTTAATCACTTGAATCATCTGAGAATTACGAAAATTAAAGGCTTATGTTAGGACAATTTTTTTGAAAATTTTTTTCCATGTGACAATATTTTCCCGACAATTAAGTAATCTTAAAAGCTTAAATTACAATTACTTCATTTTATTTTTGGAATATGGAAATAAATAAATAAACAAACAAACAATTATTCATTACCGTAATGCAGAAAATATAAAGTATAATTTAAATTAGTTTAAATTTAAATACCATTGTAGTATTTTCTGTATTTAAACCTCATTGTAGCATTTTCTGCTTTTAATTTATACTGATTTTAATTATTTTTTTTAAATCATTGTATTTCCAGACAAATACTGTACATTTCATACAAAATTATTTGTATTAGAGTAGTTTTATAAATATTAAAATATGAAATACTGTAAATATTTAATATATGTAAATTATTAAATAAACATTAAATATTTTCTTATGATTTAGTAATTAAATATTAAAAATATATGTATTACAGTAATAAATTACCTCATTATAAAACGGAGAGTTCCGGTCCTTGATTCTGATTGGTTGAGCCGCGTTCGAAGCTGTTGTAAATTACACTACAAACATACACCTTTGTTTACGTCTGTGTGTCACGGCTTCTTGGTGCTTATTGCTTTATTAACAAACAGAAAATTAAAAAAATAATAAACATGTACAATGCACAGTGCAAAAATGACCCAAAACTGAGATTCACCCAAAGGACCACACGTAAGACTATGTACCTTGTCCATTCATGATAATATGGCTGTTATAAATGCGCCGGTCTGTTTTCCAGTCGTGTCCTCTCTCATGAAACCCACCCAGAGACAGCCACAGGTCCAGCTTCCTTAAACACACACACAAACACCTCCTGAGCAATCAGACGTTGTCAGTCGCTGTAGCAGTGCTCCGTATCGTACCTGGCCAGGTGTGAGTAACGGCTGATGATGTCCCCCTCCAGACTCTCGGACAGCTGCAGCGTCTCCTCGCGGTTTGAGCCGATGTAATCGAAGCCCTCCGGCAGGAACACCATACAGGCCCCGCCCTCTTTGGCCTGCTCCACCAATCGCGTGCAAGCGCTGAAGTTGGCCTCTTTGTCAGGGGTGGCGGTCATCTGACAAACAGCCGCCACAGGAAGTGATGACGACGACGTCATCCTGACAAACAAATGAAGAATGTGCCTAGGTTTCTATTAGCAGGCGATCTGACAGTCATTTCAGGTGCAAAGCTCCTCACTACAACCCGCCAAAATAAAAGTTTGTTTTAACAGTTTAATTACAACAGTGCAATAGAATCTACTTCTCAAAGTTACAATAATAATAATAATAATACAATTTATTAAAACACACAGAAACGCAAAGGTCTTCACTACAACCCGCCAAAATAAACGTTTGGTTTAACTTGAAGAAATTGTGACAGAAATATATTGCTATTGTAGAGTAGAAAGTACATCTCAACGTAATACTATTGATTAAATATTATTTATTGTTTATTAAAACTATTTAAAAACTTGAAACTTAATTTTTTTTTTTAAAGAATTTCACACAATTTCATAATTTTTCATTTAAATGTTTTAATTTAATCAGCAAACCTCTATTGTGCAGCACTGTGTTTGCCAAACAGATAAAAGGACTTGATCAAATTGCATTTTAAAAGATTAATTAAATTGTTAAAGTTTAATGCATTCATTTTTGTACCAGTACTTTTGATAATATATTTCTACATATATTACACAGAAACACAGAATCCAGAAAAAAATATATTAAAATAAATGTATAATCTATAGTTCCATGAAATCTCCTCAAATTAAAGAATAAATATCATATAAATCAAACAAAAACAATAAAAACAAAATAAATACAAATATAGTACATGTATTTAATTAAAGAAAAAAAAAGAGTTATTGTCTTCAGTCTGTTTTGACTGCCGAGGATCACAAGTGTGACCCTTAAATGAGTAATAAATGCATTATTTCTATATCAACCCCGGGTAGACTCAGTGTCACTGTTGCGCCTTCATGTGGACACTAAAGAAAACCGCACTGCAAAGTCAACAGACTAGTCATGGCTGTCCATTTATATTGCAACTACAACAAATGAAGTAAAAGCATATATTCACTAACACTTCTGTCATCAGAACCTCGTGCACATCTAAAACACAACAAAGAGGATCTGATATTAACATGCAAGAGCATGAGAAGTGTTGCACTGCACAAGGACAGAAACAAAACAGCATGCATGCAGAAACTCTTACCTGATCTGTCCTCGCACTGCCTTCGATCTCAAAGCCGACAGACCCACAGCAGCTGAAGGCCTTCGCGGTCTCAGTGCAGCAAGCAGACGCATCGACAGCCTGCGGAACTCAATTACTCTCACAGACTGAACTTTGAGCCCATTTCAGCCACTGCCAAGGCAATAACTAACCCTACAGCTGGCGCATTAAAAACACACGACGTAACTGACTCTACTCTCAGAATACGAACGCGGGTTAAAGAACAACCCAGTCGTTTTGTGCTAAATTACAGTTTATGTTTGGCTAAATACGCGTGCAATCCAGATACGATAGTTTAGTGTGGGCGAGGCTTATATGTCAGGACGCTGCCTCTGATTGGACAGAACTTTGGGTCTAAGTAATAATTCTTATATTTACCTACCTTGCATTTTCTACACAATGTTTATCACCAGTATCGGTATTGTAGTCTATTAACCAGCAGCATTAATCAGGTTTAAATGATTATAATTGCAGAAACTGCGCCGAGACCGCGTTGTCACGTGTTACATATTACTTTTCTCAGCGCAGAGCAGGACGGACCAATCGCAGGAAAGTCGATGTGATTCGCTGGAAAAGGTGAGTTTATTTATCTATTTACTGCAAAACTACATTTCCATCTATGTATATAATCATAGAATTAAAAAAAAAATGTAATCGTTTCGAATAAATGTCACCAATAAGACTGAAACGTCCTTAAAATTTGAATGCTGTATGTGCTTTCCGCGCCTCTTGTGGAACAGCAACTAACGTACTCTTCGCAAAAACCGGTAACCTGGAAAAAATATATATATATATAAATAAATAACAAATCTGGCAGGTGAAAATGGGAATTTTATGTGTGGTTTAAAAAAAGTCGTACAGCACCTTACGTTTCTATTCTTAGCGAGCAGTAATTTCAGTCAGGGATGTTCGCGGTCAGTCCCTCATGTGACCGTTGGGGGTCCTGACTCGTGCGGCGCGGTGTGGTGCAGTTCATCATGGCGGCGAACAGCAGCAACAACACGAGCGGTAAAAGCGGCGGAAAGCAGCCCGCGCCGTCCGCCGAGCAGGTAACGGCGCATTGGGTTTATTACAGTAACACGCGAACACTTCATCTACGCGTCGCGACCGAACCAGAGCGCGTCTGCGATAAACAAAGCCGCGAGCGTCCGACGCCCCTCAGTGCTTAGTAATGGATGTGTTCGGGTTGCGTTGTAAAGCATGTGTGTTGGGTGTGTAGTGCGTAGTGTGGTCGGTACAGACTGAGACGCGCCTGTGCTGCTTTATAGCTGCCATGCAACAATGCAAACCTCAGATCTGCTGCAAGAGAGATAAAAGACAGTGATTTCATAAATCTAGGTCTCCGCCCATTAGAAACTAGTACAGGCTCTTCTGTCTCCATGAGGAAAGTGCATCGTCTGCACGTCTGTCGCTATTCCTGCCATTCAACACTATAACACGGCACAGAAGAAACTATTAAGAGTGACAGTAATTGAGTCATGCAGGGGCATTGCTAACGAATTAATATTCAAAAATGAAGCTAACAGATTTTAGGTGCATCTCATATCCTGCAATAAACCCTTTAACGTCAGTTAACACACATTTTTTTTATTTGTATATATATGTTAATATTATGTTGTTATATTAAATATATAATTATTATAATTACCCTATAAAAATAATTCAAGCAAGCCTTTTTCCCCCAAGTCATCAAGGGGACAGAAAGCTTTTTCTAAATGCACCTGTATACTTGAACCTAATCATCTTACTATTATTATTTAATTTTATTATTTTACAATTTACCACCTTATTAATATGCATGTGCTGTTCATATGTGTGCTCGTGTTTGAATCAGGTGGTGGCTACTTTCCAGAGGATGCGACAGGAGCAGCGCAGTATGGCCTCGAAGGCTGCAGAGTTGGAGATGGAGATCAATGAACACAGGTGTGTTTAATCAAAGTGATGCACTGTGAAACCTTCCCTTCCTGTGTGGATGCTCTGCAGTGAATGGGTGCCGTCAGAACGAGAGTCCGAAAAGCTGATTCTGCGTGTTTGTGAGAAATCAGCTGTTTGGACTCTCATTCTGACGGCACCCATTCACTGCAGAGGATGCAATGCTGAGCAAGTGATGCAATGCTACATTTCTCCAAATCTGTTCCCATGAAGAAGAAACAAAGGCACTGATATATACACAGTCACGCCGTTGTGTTTGAAAGGCTCTTGTTCTGACGCTCATCACTTCCTCTTCACAGCCTCGTCATAGACACGCTAAAGGAAGTCGATCCGACACGGAAGTGCTTTCGTTTAGTTGGCGGTGTGCTGGTGGAGAGGACAGTCAAAGAAGTTCTGCCTGCGTTGGAAAACAATAAAGAACAGGTGCGACTCTGCTGCGGGACTCGCACACCTTTGCTCGATGCATTATTACCGCTTCTCTCTTTCCAATCAGATCACGAAGATCGTGGAGTCGCTTAACTCACAGATGCAGGCGAAAGGGCGGGAGCTGACGGAGTACCGCGAGCGCTACAACATCCGATTAGTCGGAGAGGACGACAAACAGGGCAAAGCGGACGCCAGTCAAGCCAAAGAGAGCAAAGGAGGCTCGAAAGGCAGCGCCGGAGTGCTCGTCTCCTAGTGGATTTTTCTTTAAACGCTGGTTAGAAATTGTTGGTGCTTTAATATTTGCGGAGAGACTGAGTTGGCATGTTTCTATTAAGTCTTACAGGTGCCAGTCATAAAACACGAAAGAGAGTGAAAGGCTCGGTTTTCATGCACATTTTGTTAAGACACAGCTCACAACAACACCTTGCCTATCCGAACATTTACAGCCGTTCGCACTAGCCAGTGTGATTTCAACTAAATAGGTTTCCGTTGTTTGCGTTTCAGTCCAGTTTGTCACAAATAAATAGTCGGTAAACATGTTTCATGTCTAAACGGACTGTGTAAATTCACCATGTCCAAATAGTTTTTGAGGCTTGACTTTCACGTTCTTCTGCTTTGGGAAGACTTAATATTTAGTAATAGAGTGAAATGTCTCGTACGGTGGACCTCTGACTGTTGACCGCAGCTCGACTCCATCGTTTATCGTGTCACGACTGTACACCTGTTGGACGAAGCCTTTTTATGTTGGTTTTGTTGCTGTGGTTGTTTTGGTTATTGAATTAAAAATGCAAAATTGAGCGAGATTTGTTCACAGTGTTGCGTGTTTTCTTCGTCACTAAAATCACACACTTGTTGGAGCAAAACATAAAAAGGGTGTGCGTGTTGCTGTTCACCATCAGTTAGTAAATTGTGTAAAATAAAATTATTATAATTACCAAATATTCATTTGATAATGACAAGTATAATATTAATAAAGCCCCAAGAAGCTACAGTGAATTTATAACAGCTAAGGGGGTTTTCACTGTGTGTAACGCCGCTTAGCTGTTATAAATTCACTGTAAACCATGGCTTCACGGGGATTATTGCTTTTATAAAACGGTTATTCCATATAATTAATAATAATAATTTATGCATTTAGCAGACGCTTTTATCCAAAGCGACTTACAGTGCATTCAGGTTATACATTTTTTTACCAGTATATACATATTCGTAGTAAGGTTTCACAGAATAAAACGGAGCAAATAAAGTGTAATGATATTAATAAAAACAGTATTCTTCCACCAAACAATGTAGTTCCTCAGAAACCGTTGTGGTTGACGAGCAACACAGAAGTAAACAAAGGTGTATGTTTGTAGAGTAATTTACAACAGCTTCGAACGCGGCTCAACCAATCAGAATCAAGCACCGGAACTCTCCGTTTTATAATTTATTTTAAAACACGGTTTTATTATTAAAATATTAATATATTTATTTTTATAGAGCTAATAATAATTTGCCACATTGTTTGAGATTAATATAACATTCATAATCTTTACGTTTGAGGTTTATCGGTTTATTTATCAGTATCTTGAAGCATTGAGGTGTAAGGAACGAAAAGCCAAAATAAATAAGTTAAGGATGTCGATTTGATGTCACTAATGTATGTAGTTTTTTTAAATTTGTGTTTATTTTTTATTATTACTTACATTTTTCGCCTTATTATTATTATTTTGTATCTATCAGTGTGAGTTGTCACTAAGTAAAGCATAAAAAAAAAAAAAAAAGTTTGTTGAGCGTACACGAAATTCCGCGAAAAAAAAACACGGCTTGCTTTACGGCAGCAACAAATGCACGTGTGCAGCCTATATTTATTTACGACAATTAATTCCACACACTTAACTGTAGGGGGCTCCAAAGTCTGAAAAATACACAAAACTATACAGTATACATCTGTCATTGTATATTATAATATCATGTTTAAAAAATATTATTATTACTATATTATATTATTTAAAACCAAACATTAGTATAGTGCAAAAACTGCAGGACTTCTCTTTTTAACCAAGCTCAAATTTAAGTCAAAAACGATTTCCGACGAGGATGGGATTCGAACCCATGCGTGCAGAGCACAATGGATTAGCAGTCCATCGGCTTAACCACTCGGCCACCTCGTCTGATGCGCCATGCTGACACTTGATCGTTTTGATCCATACAAAGTCACTTATAGGTAATAATACACCTCAGTTTATGTGTGTAGAGAATGTTTACTGATAGTTCTTCTTTCTGTTATTGAGAGGAATTGTTTATGGAGTCGAAACAGCCACACACACGCACGCCAGAACTAGGGAGTTTACGGTAACCGGAACGGTAAACAAATATGCGCCGCCGCCACGCGCAGTGCGTGCTGTACGCGAACGCGTTTCCCTCCCTGCGTGTTCACAGGCGTCTTTTCAATGCATGCATCCAAACATGCAAGTCGATTTCCGTTTAAACTGACCTGCAATGCAGATCAATGCAATGACTGCTGCATGCATGAGGGCTGCATAGCTAAGATAGCTGGCTAACCCTAGCTGATCTGTGTGAGCAGCACTCTCTGAGAACGTTTCATTGACATTAAACAAAAGCCACCAGTAATTGTAATGCATTTCTCTAAAAAATGCTCCGTGTTTAAGGTGGTGCTCAGTGCCCTTTTCATTGTTGCACTGTTGCAGCTTTTATATCTGTCTTTCCTCTCAAAATTGCACGGCAAACAGCAGCACTACAAGTATTCGGAGCTCTTCGGCTCCAAAAAGACAGCAAACCAAGGAGAGAAGAACCCCAGGCGGGAACATCTCAGGTACTCTTTATCTACAGGCGGGATCTTCGATGGGAGTGGACAGTACCGCATGTATAAAAACCTAATCAAAAGCGACTTCTCGACCAATCAGAAGCCAGGAGCGGATCCCAGATCGCACCACCTGGCTTTGGCCACGCATACGACTATCAACAACCTTCACCATTTGAGCTCTTTGTTGGAGCGCTGGCAGAATCCTCTATCCGTCACGATATTCGCCAACGGCCAAGATGTCAAGTTCGCCACGGCGTTTGTTTACGCCCTCAGCATTTTCTGCCCACAGGTTCAAGCGTTGGTGGACTTCCATCTGGTTTGCCACTCAGGTGAAATGGCCAGTTTTCCAGACCAGGATCGAGAGCATTTTGCCGGTCTGGAGGAGATGGGCTGCTCCGGCATCTTCGCCAAGCTCAAATCCCACCGAGACAAGTATAAGAACTATGCCATCGGCAGCAATGTCTCGTACCCCAACAATCTTCTCCGCAATGTGGCCCGCAGCGGCACAGACGCAGCCTACATCCTGGTCATCGATATCGACATGATACCCAGTGCCAATCTGCACCACCAGTTTGTGACCATGCTGATGAGGCGCGAACCAGCCGCGGACGAGGTCCTCGTGCTTCCCGTGTTCGAGATCAGACACACTCATAAGATGCCCGCGACCAAGTCGGAGCTGGTGCAGCTCTATCAGGTTGGCGAGGTGCGGCCGTTCTACGATGAACTTTGCCCTCGCTGTCAAGCTCCCACTAACTACTCACAGTGGGTCAACCTGGCCAGCAAGAGCTCTGGGCCGCTGGAGGTGGCGTACACCATAAACTGGGCCGATCCGTGGGAGCCTTTCTACATCGGTGCTCGAACGGTTTCTCTCTATGATGAGAACTTCAGGCAGTACGGCTTCAACCGCATCAGTCAGGTGAGTCGATGGAGAGGTGGACTCGAGCAGGAAGAATACACACAACTAAATTAGCCAAATTAAAAAAAATCATCCAATATTTAATCATTTATTATATTTTAATAATGTTAACACACACACACACACACACACACACACACACACACATATATATATATATATATATATATATATATATAATTACTAGTATTATTAGTATTTAATATAAAATATATATATTATAAATTTCAATTATTATTGCAAGCATATATATTCATGCCATAAAAATTAATATTGTAATATAATATTCTAAATATATTATAATATTTAGAATATACTCATTATATTAGTATTTTTAATTATTGTATATAAATATTCAATAATGAATATTAAAATTAATATAATATCCTAAACGTATTATACGATGTATTCAGAACGTCGTATATGTAATATAATAATTAATATAATTTTAATATAATGTTTTATTTTACATGCTATATATTAATATGAATTATTATTATAAGAGGTAATATTATTAATTATAGAATTAATAAATTAAAATCACGATAACGATATATCGCGATATCTATTGAAGTGCACAGATTATCGGGGATCACGGTAACGATATATCACGATGTATATATAAGTCTTATAGGAGTAATTGTTCTATAGAAGTCTATATATGGGAGTAGTTGTTCTATATAAGTCTATATATGGGAGTAGTTGTTCTATAGAAGTCTATATATGGGAGTAGTTGTTCTATAGAAGTCTATATATGGGAGTAGTTGTTAAAGATGTTTAGAGGAGCCCTTCATAAAGCAAACAAAAAGCCCTGCAAATTAATAAAAGAACAGGTTATAAAGATACTTCATATTTAATAGTATTTGATGATTTGTTAATTGCATTTAATATATTATAATTTCAATGAAACATTTGCATTAGGTATTTATTTATGCATAATTTGGTTTTTGTTTAATAATTTTAGTTTTTGTTGCATTTATGACCACGTTATGACCAGCAGGCATCACCAGCGTGTGGCGTTTTGAGTGATTCGAATCAGTGAATCATTTTGCGAAGCAAATGGTTCAATTGATTTAAAGCTTTTTTACCCCAAACTCGAATTATAGTGTCAATCGAGTTTTGAAATAACTTCTTTCTGTGAACTGATGAGGCTTCTGTACAGTATTCTACACAGTGCTAAAGACTATGTCGATTAGCATGGCATTATAAAATAAACATGATCCTTATGAAAAATGCCAGAGATGACTTGAACACAGAAAAAACATATACTGTTGTAATCGTGTGTCAATTCTCTTCACGTTTCGTCAGTCAAACATTTCTTTCTGCATTTTATTCAGCTACAGTGAAAGTCATTTGTTTTATTACTCCTATGAGTCTCCCTCGTGAACTTCCTGTGCAATGGCGCCCTCTGGTGTCGGGTATGAATGAAACAAATTACACGTGAGAGTTTAGCGCTGTGTACTTTTTGAAATATCATGGTTGTCGCTAATACCGGTATATCACGACACCCCTAATTAACACGACAGCGATATTTAGTTTTTTAAATAACACTATTATCGTCAATATTGGTATATGGCGACACCCCTAATGGCAACTGTGTTTCCTGCCGGCGATGGCCATTACTAACTGCATAATGCGCCATGCCACACCAGAGATTGCCTTACTATTGGGAGATACGAGGGTCTATATTACTTACTATTGGAGAAAGCGTAACGGTCAACTTGGATCACGTGTGCCTTAATAACCAATCACATTACAGCCTTGACGTCACTGAATTTGTGCGACTCTCAATCGCCGTTTACGCCATAAGCTGAATCTCACCTGTCGCAAAAGTCAGTGACTTCTCTTATAAAACGTCATTTTTTTCAGTGTAAACTCTAAAAATAGTTCTGTCATGACAACTCTCGGAGGGTTTGGCATGGTAATGTACATGACAATGTTAATGTATTTGGTCTTGGCGGAATAGATCTGCTACGCTGCTGCTACTGCGGCAGAGCAAGTCCCGAGACTTGCTATTGCCAATACATCCACAACATGCTGCTGTGAGCATGTAAGAAATACTGCTGCTGCACATATAAC